ATGGTAAGATCAGATTGTGGGGGAATTGACCCCTTACTATTGGTATCACTCGACACTACACACCAGCTCTCCAGCCAACTGAACTAATATAGACTCTGGAATTTCCACCTTAAACATTTCCACCTCGTTCTACTCCTTTCTTTGTCATATTCACTTATGCTAATATTTTCTTATGTAACGCAGTGCCATGTTTTGTTTGATAACCTGCCTTTGGAATGCTCTGGGTCAGCACTTTGAGCATTGCTTTGTTTTGATTTGTATTAGTAAGATTGCAATAATTATGAACAGAATAGACCATGCAACCGTTCAAGCCCTCAACCATTCAATATATTTATGGCTGATCTGTTAATTCACACTTGCTCACATTTATCAATTGCAGCCTTGAATGCATTTAATGATGGAGCAAGAATAACTGTCTGTGGTAAAGAAATCCAAAGATTAATAACTCTCTTAGTGAAAGAATTTCTCCTTACCTCAATCCTAAATGACTGAGCATGTGCCCCATGTTCTAGACTCCCCAGTCAGCAGAACCAACCACTCAGCATCTAACCTGTCAAGGCACTTCAGACCTTGTTATTTAAAATGAGTAGCCCTCTCATTCTTCTCAAGTCCATAGAATATAGACCCAATTTACTCAGCCTGTCATCATAAGGACAACCTTCTCATGTCAAAGACTAACATAATGAACTTTCACTGTATTGCATCCAAAACACTATATCCTTCCTTGAATATAGAGAACAAACTGCACACAGTATTCCATGTGGTCTCATCAAAGCCTGACACAACTGCAGCAAGAATTCCTTATTCTTGTACGCCATGCACATTTCAATAAAAGACAGCATGTCTTCTGATTTCTTAGTTACCTGCATACCAACTTGCTAACACAAAACATGGAAGTGTCATGAACAGAGAGGAAGCTGGCAATGCCATAGATTTCAAGGTGACATGGATAAGCTCGAGAAATGGGCATGCCTGTAGCATATTTCATTTAATGTGGCACTATAAGGCTTTTTATTCAGAAGTAACAGGGAAGAGAGGCAATATAAAACAAAGGGAACAATTTGAAATTGGGTATAAAAAATTGTTAAAGGTGACAAGGCTGGTTGAGAATACCATTTAAAAAAACCATAGGGCAACCTGCTTTAAAAATGGAGACATAGGATCAAACCTTATGATCAGGATTAAAAATCCCATTTCTGAACTCTGGTCAGAGGGCATTTCTCCATGTGAACTTCCAGGTCAGGGCTCTTCTCAGTTGAAGCCAGTCTATTCCAGGCCTGGAATCCACGTAGCCAGTGCTGAAGGGGATCGGCAGTCAAACAACAACCCCTCTATCATGCAACAAATTCTGCAGTATTACAGGACTCAAAGATACTGTAGCGACTTTCACAGATACTGAGAGAATGTAAGTGAGGGCACAGCATGTCAAACAGATTAAGGGGTTGCGTGGCAAGGAAAGTGCGAGGGAAAGTGCCAGGTGGATGAGTGAGTAAACACGAGGTGGATGAAGAGCTGGAGTGCCAACTGGTGTTGAGTTAGGTGAGGAGGGACAGTTAAAGATAAGTGGGCAAGACCTTAGGGTAGGCCAAAGAGGAAGATAGATTGAAAGGAGTTGGGGCGTGCACTCTGATATACTTCAGGCCTTCCAATATTTGTTTGCCCCATGGGGGCTTGGAGTGCATCACTTCCATTAAAATCAATTTTTAATTTAGATTTGATTTCCTTTTTTTGTTACTGTACCCCTTTAAGAGACTAACCTAGTCATTTATTATTTTAAAAATAGTTAATTTGGTTAGAAATGCCTGATCAATTAGGGACCCAGACACCCTATGGCAGGCATAACCATGAAAGAGAGGCAGGCACTCAGTTCAAATGACAGCTCATAACCCAAACCCCATAATGAACACCTTGGCTAGGCACAGATACAGGCTTTTAAGAAGGTTTTCTGATTTGCACACCTCCTCCACATTGGGGGGGCCAAATTTCAGGACTGTCCGAATGAAGTGCAGCCAAAAGTGAAGAATGGTTCCTTCAAAGGGTGGAACAGAAGTGTCCCTTTATATTCTTTTGCAAACCAATGAAATCAAATTAACTCAATTCAAAAAGTGACCTAAGGAACAGCCCTTACAGGGCCACTGTAGCACATATGCTGCTTGTTTTATACATTACTGATTTGGACTTGAACATGGGGGCACAATTGGGAAATTTGCAGATGATTTGCAAAAATTGACCATGCAGTGTAAAGTGTAGAGGATAGCTGGAAGCTCCAAAATGTGGTAGATGGGTTGGTAGAGTGGGCAGGAGAGTGACAGATGGAGTTCAACTCTGATAAGTGTGAAGTAATGCATTTAGGGAGTCTAACAGTTAAAGGGAATACACAATAAATGGGAATACACTGAGAGGAGTAGATGTAGCAAAAGATCATGGCGTGCAAATGCATAGGACCCTAAAGGTAGCAGTACAGATAGATAAGGTTATAGAAAAGGTATATGGAATGCTGTCCTTCATTGGTATAGAATACAAAAGTTGGGATATAGTGATGAAATTGTATAAGACACCAATAAGGCCACAATTGGAGTATTGTGCACTGTTCTGGTCACCACATTACAGGAAGGATGTAACTACTATGAAGAGAGTGCAGATTAGATTTACTCGAATGTTGCCAGGCTAGAGAATTGTATCGAAAAGGAGAAATTGGAGAGGTTGGGGTTGTTTTCCTTGGAACAAAGAAGGTTTTGGTTTGACATAATCGAGCTATACGAAATTGTGAGGGATGGAGTAGACAAGGCGGCACAGTGGCTCAGTGGTTAGCCTGCTCCCTCACACTGCCAGGGACCTAGTTTTGATTCCATCCTCAGGCAACTGTCTGTGTGGAGATTACACATTCTCTCCATTTCTGTGTGGGTTTCCTCCCACAGTCAAAAGATGGGAAGGTTAGGTGGATTGGCATGCTACATTCCCCATAGTGTCCAGGAATGTGCAGGCTAGGTGGGTTAGCTATGGGAAGTGTAGTGTTATGGGGGTAGGGGAGGGGATGAGTCTGGGTGGGATACTGTTCAGAGTGTTGGTATGGACTCGATGGGCCGAATGGCCTGCTTCCACACTGTAGGGATTCTATAAGAAAAGGTGCAATTTAAATTAAAGTGTGATTTTTGGACAAGGCAATACACCTTAATCCCTGCAGTGTTTGCTGGCCATGAAAGGAGTGTCTCTTTAGAAATGGAAAAGTAATTATTTAATGAGTGAGTCCGCCACTATACGTGTAACTTTAATTTATAATTAACAGACTCTTTATTTCCTTTTCCAAAATCTGAACCAATAATATTCACAGACAATATTGAAAGAAATCAAAGAAGAAAATAAACATGTTTACATGTTGTTTGTAAAGTTTTACAATGAAATACACCCCCTTGGTGACCCACAACAATAACTTGGCACAAACATTCCTCTTTGGTATAGCAGTTAGATAATTGATGACTTTCTTCAACCCTCTTCTGATCTTAGAGATTCAAGGCTGATCCTTAATGTTTTTTCCACCAACTCTTTCATAAAATTAATGTGTCCTACAAGGTATGATCATTTATGTGAGATCCAATGGGCACACCATTTTCAGGACACTGCTTTTACAGAATTTCCCATAAATTATGTGACAAAAAATAATTCCTTTTCCACCGCTTCTACAAGAGCCAGAGTTTCTGCAACTAAAGTACTTTTAATTTTTTTTTCTTATTTTCTTAGTCAATAGGCAAGATTTTCATTTTTCACTCACAAAAGATTTGGTGGCCCAGGAAGATTAGCTTTTGAGGCATCATTAAATATAGTCAATTTCATGTTCCTTAGGCCACACAAGGATGAGAACATAAGTATGCATTTCTCTGTATTTAATATTTGTAAAATTTTAGGTGCTTCATTGTGATGCTTAGTTCCAAGATCTCAAAACTAGCATCCACCCATCCGAGTGCACAGTCAACTGACAGTCAAGCTTCGTAATTGTATAGTGTCATACAGCACAGAAACCTTTTATCCAACTCAACTGCACCTATTATAACATCATCTTTCTGTGATGACTGGGCACCATTAACTGGAATAGGTGTATTACTCTCTAATCAGGGCTACTGATTTGAACAAAGTTGCCTGTTCAGCATAATGCCAAAACCATTATATTTAAAAACCCCTGAAATCTGACTTCCAATCAGAATTCTATTTTAATCCTGTTGATAATGCATTTCTCAATTCCACAGTAACACCCCGTAAGAAATCATCAACCTGCAGCATGAAGTTGTTTGATAGTTTCCCTTTTTGATACCAATGAAAGACAAGGTTTTGCTGAATAACCAATGATCAGTCTTGTGCCCTTTCCATTAAAGTAATTGATTGACTCTGTATTGTCTGTTAAGTATTTAAATCAGCAATGACTGTTTATAAAAGAAATCCAACCATCTGGAAAAAGATGCAATGATTTTTTTTGCTGCAATCCATCTAAGCAGATCCTTGATCTAGGACTCTTGTGCTCTCAGGCTGACCCTCCAGAGCACACATTGAAATAAATATCATGATGCTAGAGGACCAACAACTCCTGTGTATGATTGTCTTTGATCTGTCCAAAACATGCTCATCTCCCAGTACAAAGAACAGTTGGTGACAACAATTGCAGTCAGGCACATTCCACAGTCAAGGACTACTGCTTTTTTTAATTTCAGAAATATACTTTATTGTAAAAAGATCCTATATATTATACATACATCGTCACAGTAGCATAAAGTTCTGCACAGTAGTATATCAATACATGCATTTGAGGCACCAGGAGGGTCCCTATTGAGAGACTTTCTAATGCTTGGAACAGCCATCACAAAAGTGCAATGGGGGAAAGGCTGCTAGCAAAAGCCTTTTCCATCACTCCAAGTGACTGGAAATGGACAAAAAAGCCCCTCAGGTTTGACACAAAACACATATAAATACTAATAGTAATTGTTTGAGGGTCATGTGTCTGTCTGTCTGGGCCAGAAGATTCAGGTTTGGTCTCATATGCGCCGGAGAGTAACACGTCTAAACAGATTGGGTTCTATCAATGTAATAAAACTCTTAAAGGTTCCACATACAGCAATCAAACTTTATGTAACGTTGTTACACTTATATGTAGCATCAACTTTGAACTGCCTTGAGATGCATTTTTATAAATTTAATCAATATATTTTGGGGTTGGGGGAAATGAAATCTTACAATTCTGAGCCTTTACACAGGTAAATAAGGTTTTGCTATAGTCACTGCTTAATGGTGCAGCTAAAGGTGCTGGCTCGCAGCATAGACTCCAACCGTGGCTCTAACAGGCTGGGGAATTGTGCAGATCTCCAGACGAGGGTTACAGCTGAACAAATGTGCGCGCAGCACTGAAAAACCAACAGACATTCGCTAAAGGGAAGCACAGCAAGGCGTCGAGCAAAAACGGCCGACAGCTGCTTTATTGCACTCGAGCAATAAATTCCTCACTCTCACCATGGAGTATCCACAGATCAGATAAAAGAAAAGAATTGCAAGGGGCTGGCGTGGGCACTGGTTTCCCTGTAAGATGCGTGAAGCTGCTGAGAATGAAACCAGGGCTCCTGTTTAACTTCCTGGATTGCTCCTCGTCAATTTCGGTGTGGCCGTCGTTGAAATAACAGTTTCGTTTCGGTTCCTACTTGGGGAAGTTGCACCGAGCAGCGAGAACCTCGGTGGAAATCAGGTTAATAATTTTCTTAATTTTTTTTAGAAAGTCTGCCAGCTCGCACGGTAACCTTTTTATTTTAAAAGCAATTTCTCTAAACCTCATCGGAATAATTGTGGAGGAGGATACTTTGGGTTCTGGTTTCGATTTTGGTTCAGCGCCTGACGCAAGTGAAGCGAAAGAAGTACATTCTGTTTTATAGTTTAATTATTTATTTAAATGATCTTATTCGAGTTTGGGATTGCAATTCTTCCCCCCCCCGCCCTGAAATTTATGCGCTCTGTTGTAGCAATCTTTAAATCTTTATTTGTTTTGTCAGATTTCCTGCAGCCAGAAAACATTTTGATATTCTCCACCCCACCCCCAACAAAAAGGTGGGAGTCAATCTTGCTTTAGGCACACTGTTAGGAAGCAAAACAATTCTTCCTCAAAAACAAAAAGAGAGAAATTTCTGAAAGACCCAGCAAGTACGGCAGCATCTGTCACGAGAAAGCAGACTTTTAGAAGTCTTCTGAACGTGGGTCACTGGACTCGAATCGTTAACTCTGTTTCTCTCTCCACAGCCGGACCTGTTGTGTTTCTCCAGCAATTTGTGTTTCAGGTTTCCAGGGTCCGCAGGTCTTCGTTTTAAATTGCAGCTCCTTTCTTTGCCTCCTCGATGCAGAGTTAGGCCATGATCCCATGGAATGGCGGAACGCTCGTTCGAGGGGCTGAATGGCCCACTCCTGTTCCTACGTGTTCCTCAATGGAATTTGCCTTTCTCTACCCACTAAAGCCCAGCCTCTCCCCTCGCTCAATTATTGCCCAAGACAACCACCCAAGGAGAGGTCAGGTGAGGTCAAGTTTGGGTGTGGTGGAGAGAGGAAGTGTTCAAGAGGTATGGGTGTGTAAATGTTGATTAAAGAGTGAAAAAAGTAGTAAATGATCTTTTTCATGGAATCCCTATAGTGTGGAAGTAGGCCATTCTGCCCACCAAGTCGACACCAACTCTCTGAAGAGCATCCAACACAGACCCAACAATATCCCTGTAACCCTGCATTTCTCCATGGCTAACCCACCTAGCCTGCACAGCCCTGAACACTATGGGGCAATTTAGCACGGCCAATCCACCTGGCCTGCACATCTTTGGACTGTGGGAGGAAACTGGAGCACCCAGAGGAAACCCACGCAGACATGGGAGAAATGTGCAAACTCCACAAAGACAGCCAACTGAGGGTAGAATCAAACCCAGGTCCTTGGTGCTGTGAGGCATCAGTCCTAACCATTGAGCCACTGTGCACCCCCCCTCCCCAAAGGAGCAAAAGGCTTGCATTTATACAGCACTTTTCAGAAACACTGGACTTTCCAATTGGCTGTACGAGCCAGTAAAGTTCTTTTGAAGTGGAAGGCTGTTGTAATATAGGACAGGAAGGTGGGAATGGCACAGAGGGTTCAAATGACAAGTGACCAGAGGCTTGGGCTTCTGCTTGTGGACTAAGCGAGACACGATGCAAAAAATAATTATTTAATCTCCATTGAATCTCCCCAGTGTAGACCATGATACTGCCCAGAGCAGTCAGTGCAGTTGAGAAAATTGAAAGCAGTACAAGTAGATCATTGTGTTTGGGGTCCTTGGCAATGGGAGAGTTGGGGATAAAAGTTACATCTCCCTGAACCTGCCCAGGAAGACATTATGGGGTGTTTGGGAGATGAGGGAGAGCAGTTTTGTCAACAGTGGAGGACCTGGCCAGGCTGTTATGGAGGGGATGATTCCATCAGACTGCTCAGAAGGGAGGAAAGAGGTATTTGGTGATGGCATAGCATTGGAGCTGGTGGAAAGTGAGGATTAGGGAAAACCCATTAAAGGTTCAGGGAATGAGGAGAAGGAATAAGAGCAGGAAATGGAAGAAACACAGTCAAGGACCCTATCAACCAATGGGGCACTTTAAGGAAGCTTTAATGGGAATACTGGTATGGAAGGTGACACCATTAGCACAGATGTCATGAGAGGGAAGCACTGGAAATTAACCTGAGTCTTTAGAAGAAACGGGATGGGAGCAATTTTTGTGAGTGTTGGTGTCAGTGGGCTTATAGTGGATGTGGTTAAACTAGAGACAGGTGAGGACTTTTCCCAATTTAGTATACTCACAGCTCACCATTGTCTCTTCGACCCTTGGAGACAATTTGCAGTTTGGGTGACCACTTTGCTGCTCACCTCTGTTGCTCGCCACTTTGATTCTCCACCCCATTTGCACTCTCATGTCTTGGACCTTGACTTGCTGCACTTGCTGAAGCTTAGTGTAAACTCTAGGAGCAGGACTTTCCCTTTCCGTTTGGCACTTGCAGAATCAACACAAGCTGTTGACCCTTTTTTTTTTAGATTATGACCTCTGCCACCTATTTAGCCAGGCATTTGCTGTTGGTTTTGGTTCACTAAAGTCACCTATAGACCATCTTTCATCTCTCCAGTCATTGCCAACTCCCTTTTGCCTTGCAATAGCATCTTCTGAATTAATCACTCCTGCCTTTCACTATAATACAGACCCTCATTTTGTTCTTACACCACCTCACATTTCCTTGACTCTGTACTTGTTTAAAGCCTGTTACATCTTTTTTTTTTCAGATCTGAATAAACACCACAGTTCTGAAGAGTTAAGTCTGTTTTTTGCTCCCCACAGATGCTGCCAGACTTGCTGAGTATTTCTATTACTTTCTGTTTTTATTTCTACTTTGGCTCTACTGTAAGATCATTTTTGCCTTTTCCAACTCACTAGTATTGTCTTTTAATTGCAACATGAAATCCAGGGAAAATATTTGAATCTTATTCTGTTCGGCTTTATGGCATTTACAATATTCTGCTTTTGTACAATGGATGTCGTCCAATTTACATGGTGAGTTCGTGCCGTCCATACAAGTTGCAGAAGGACCTCTGTGTCGCATATTAACAAATTCTTCAAAGTGTGATGATAAGTTGAGTAAGAAGGCCTATGGGATATCTGACTCTGTAAATAAGGGCACTAAATACAAAAGAATATGGTCCGTACTAAGCAGCATCATAGGAGCAGAGAGGCTGACGTTTCGGGCCTAGACCCTTCCGGAAACGTCAGCCTCTCTGCTCCTATGATGCTGCTTGGCCTGCTGTGTTCATCCAGCCCTGCACCTTGTTGTCTCGGATTCTCCAGCATCTGCAGTTCCTACTATCTATGGTCCGTACTAAACTTTTGCTGAGCTCTGGTTAGACCTCAGCTGGAGTTTTGTGTATAGTTGCGTTTGCTGCACTTTGTAGAAGGTGTCAAAAGCCTCACAAAGGTACAGAGGATCTTTATCAGGATGATACCTGGCAAGGGGAACGGGAGTTATGTGGATAGTTTGAATAAGCTGATCTGGCCTGCACTCATTGGAGTTTAGAAGAATGAGGGATGACCTTATTGAAACATAGAAGATACTTAGGGGCAGTTGTGGAAAGGTTGTTTCCTTTGTGGAAGAGGCTAGGAATAGAGGACACTGTCTCAGAGTAAGGAGTCATCCAGTTAGGACAGAGATGAGGAGGAATTCATTCTGTCAGAGAGTACTGAATCTATAGAATACATTGCCACAGAGAGTTGTAGAGGCTGGATCTTTACTTATCTTCAATGCTGAGATAGACAGATTTTTAATCAATAAAGGAACTTCTAGGGAAAAGGCAAGAAAGTGGGGTTACAGGTTATCAGATCAGCAATAATCTTCTTTAATGGAAAGTGTGAATATATTGAGCTGCATGGCCTACTTCTGGGTCCTGTGGCTTCTGGCTATCCTCCTTAAGAGAAAAAAAAATGAATGTCAGATCTAATTAAAAATTGGGCAGGGTTTTGATGGATCAAGTAGGAGGAAATTGTTTCTTCTGGCAAATGGGTTGGTAACCAAAGGTTGTACATTTAAAATAATTGACAAGAGAACTTGAGAGAAAATGAGGAGACCTGGCTTTATTTAGAGATCTGTTAAGATCTGGAACAAACTATCTGATTCCATTGGACTTTTGAAAAGATAATTGGATGTGTATTTAAAGAGAACAAATTTGTAAGATGATGAATGAGGAAACAAACACTGAAGTGTGAGAATAAATTGAACTTTTTTTTTATCAAAAAGTCAGGATGGGCCATGTGTCCTTCTGTCCAGTAAGCATCTTTGATACTATCTGGTACCCTTTGATTGGAATGCTGAAGGTATACAAACCTCTTAAATCTGGTAGCAGCATGATTATCTTGCTGTGTTTTTAATCCAACAATCCCATCTGATAACTTAAAAAGTAAGAATTCAAATTCCAGCAGGCAAACTTGAAGATTGGAATGGTTTCAAAATTGAAGAATGAAAAGCTCTTTTCCAGAAAAATGACCATGTCAGTTCCTGTTTTTGCAAAATCTGAACTAATTTGTTACCTTTTTCTAGGGAAGGCATTCTACAATATGTCATATATTTTTCAAACTGTCTTGATGGAATCCTTTATTCTTTATTCCTTTATTCATTCACGGGATGAGTTAGTCGCTGGCTCAGCAGCATTTATTGCCCATCCCTAATTGACCAGAGGGCATTTAAGAGTCAACTACAGTGCTGTGGGTCTGGAGTTACATGTACTCCAGACCAGGTAAGGATGGCATTTTCCTTCCCTAAAGGACATTAGTGACCCAGATGGGTTTTTCCGACAATCAACAATGGATATTTGATCATCATTAGATTCTTAATTCCAGATATTTATTAAATTCAAATTTTGCTGTCTGCCATGGCAGGATTCAAACCCGAGCCCCCAGAACATTATCTGGATTAACAGTCCAGTGATAATACCATTAGGTCATTGCCTCCCCATAATTTGAATTTGAGGCTGCATTCTATGAATTGTTGCAGTTGTTGTTTGGCTGGCTTTATCATAGCCCATCCTAAACTACAAGAGACGTTTCGAAAGAAAGTAGTTCACATGTTTCCCATATATTTTATATGCCAAGTAAAAGTTAAAAATTGAGTGGGTAGAACTAAAAATAATCTTAAAAGGTCAACTGAACTGTCTG